AAGCACACTTTTTCTCTCATCTTCTTATTCCTTTTACAAAAACACGGCCCAACAATCTTACCTAGAGTCACCAAACCACAAAAATTTCGCTACCTTCATTAGCAGGGCAGTAGTACCCTTACCTTCACTGGCCACTGAAGTACATTCATCCTGGAGAACAGAGAAGCGATTTCCTACCTTCAGATCTTCACTCTTAAACTTTCCTTACTCTGATGCGCCTCCCATTACTGTGAACAACTCGCCACTTGTAGCAGGTGCTGGGCTGCACCTCACTGCTGGTACCCGTTGCTACCTCCCCACCTACAGCCTCCTCACAGTGAGAGACAGACTGCACCTCACTGCTAGAAGCCTCATTCCCCACATCTCCAACCACCTCACACTCTCTCCCAGGCCCATTGAGGTGGACCTTCAGCCTCCTAATCTCCTCCTGGAGAAGCAAGACCTCCTCCTTCAACTCTCCAAACTCAGTTTTTAAAACACTGCAGAAGCAAGCCATGCTTTGTAACCGTCCACGCTAATCCCCAAAGCAGCTCAGGGTCTGTGACCTCACGTGACCGGGTGTGGAAGTGTGAATTGCTCATTACACAATAATTTGTTCATGATTGTAGCCATGTATAAACGTAAGTAACCATTCTTACAGTATTCATTACCTTTGTAACTTGTGAGCTCATTACCTTGTACCTAGTTCAGCCATCCAAACTTTGGGGCCCAGTCCCTGGATCCATTACGTACCTCTGTAATCTGTAAATACCTTTGTAACTTGTCATGATTGTGACTAGACCTACCCGGAGTTCATTACCTTTGTAAATTGTGAATTCATTACCTCTGTAACTTGCTCAGCTATCAAAACTTTGGAGTCCAGTCCCTGGACCAATTATGTACCTCTGTAATCTTTTGACTACCGCCCACAGGATGGGTATGGGGTGCATAATAAACATATTAAACTAAACTGTCTCGTGTCACTGTCACAGGTGATAGAGGAGATAGCAGCAGCCGTGCGGGGTACCCCTGGGGCCACACTGCTGGATGTTGACCCTGGATACTCTACCAACCGCACAGTCTACACCTTCGTTGGCAGCCCTGATGATGTCGTCGAGGCAGCCATCAACGCGGCTCAAGTCGCCTATAGGCTCATTGACATGACCACGCACAAGGGTAAGTTGGAGAATGAAAAAGTGGATGTTAGGTGAGGCATACTGGAAGACAACTAAGTGGGCAGACAGATACAGTAGTTGATTTCCAAAGGATATACTGTTAGGATGTCCCAGATTTCCACTTGGCCGACTTCATGGGTATGAGATTTTACCCGGGTGGGCTAAATTGTGATGACCTGACTATGTGTCAGGTAGGTAGAGTTGGTTGCCAATATGACGTATTTCAGAGCATAGTGCTGGCTGCCCAGACGACTTTTGTCCAGAGTAGGGAAATTTCATCTAACAAAAGCCCTTGTGGCTTAGCGCTTCTTTTTGATTATAATAATCATCATCTAACAAAAATGATCCCAAATGGATAAATAAAAGATTAAAACATCTCATTGGTCAAAAGAGAGGCATATATAGGCGTATCAAAAGAGGGGAAGGGCAGTTAAGAAATCAATATATTCAGTTAAAGAGAGAGAAAAAAAGATGAATAAGAAAAGTAAAAAGGGATTATGAGGCTAAAGCCGCAAGGGATTCGAAGACTAACCCAAAAGGGTTCTTTCAGGTATACAGAAGTAAGATGAGGGACTTAAGAGTAACTCAGGTCAGATCACTGACAGTGATAAGGAAATGTGTGAACTTTTCAATACCTAATTCCTCTCAGTTTTTACTCAGGAAGATACTAGTGAAATTCCAGAAATAAATTATGTAGAACAGGACGGTAATAAACTCTGCACGACTGGAGTAACTAGTGACATGGTCCTCAGACAAAGAGAAATTAAAACCTAACAAATCCAAAGGCCCTGTTGAACTGTTTGCAAGGGTGTTAAAGGAATGTAAAGAGGAACTTAGCATACCTTTGGCTAATCTTTTCAATATATCACTACAAACTGGCATAATGGCAGACAAGTGGAAAATGGCAAATGTAATACCTATTTACAAGGCAGGTGACAGGTCCTTAACTTCAAACTATAGATCAATAAGCCTTACCTCCATAGTGGGAAAATTTATGGAATCAATAATTGCCGAGGCAATTCGTAGCCATCTTGAAAGGTATAAATTGATTAATGAATCTCAGCACGGTTTTACAAAGGGGCGTTCCTGTCTTATGAATTCACTAACTTTTTTCACTAAGGTATTTGAGGAGGTATATCATGGTACTGAATATGATAGTGTATATGGACTTCAGTAAGGCTTTCGATAGAGTTGCACATCAGAGGCTGTTGAGAAAACTTAAGGCACACGGAATAGGAGGAGAAATTTTTTCATGGGTAGAGGCATGGTTGACAGATAGGCAGCAGAGATTTTGCATAAATGGGGAGAAATCAGAATGGGGGCACGTCACAAGCGGTGTTCCACAGGGGTCAGATGAGGGAATAAATAGCGACATAAGCAAATTTGCTGATGATACGAAAATAGGCCGTCCAATTCATTCTAATGAGGACACTAGAGCACTCCAGGATGATTTGAATAGACTGATGCAGTGGTCGGAGAAGTGGCAGATGCAGTTTAATATAGACAAATGCAAAGTTCTAATTGTTGGACAGGAAAATAACCATGCCACATATAAACTAAATAATGTAGATCTTAATATTAGGGACTGCGAAAAGGATTTAGGAGTTCTAGTCTAAAACCAAGACAGTGCATAAGTTGACTCAAGAAATCGTAATGACACGATTGCTAACGCGACGGGCTGGAGTTTTGAGACTCTATGACCGCGGGTTCAATCCCGGCCGGGGGTATGGTTTACAGTGCATAAGTGTTCGCAATAAAGCTAACAGAATCCTTGGCTTCACAGCAAGAAATATAAATAATAGAAGTCCTCAGGTTGTTCTTCAACTCTGCATATCTTTGGTTAGGCCTCATTTAGATTATGCTGCGCAGTTTTGATCACCGTATTACCGAATGGATATAAATGCACTGGAAAACAAAGGAGGATGACAGTTGATCCCATGTATCAGAAATCTTCCCTACGAGGATAGACTGAGGGCCCTGAATCTGCACTCTCTAGAAAGGCGTAGAATCAGGGGGGGATATAACTGAGGTATATAAATGGAAAACAGGAATTAATAAAGGGGATGTAAATAGCGTGCTAAAAAATATCTAACATAGGACTCGCAGCAATGGCTTTAAATTGGAAAAATTAAGATTCAGGAACGATATAGGAAAGCACTGGTTTGGTAATAGAGTTGTGGATGAGTGGAACAAACTCCCGAGTACCGTATAGAAGCTAAGACGTAGTGTAGTTTTAAAAATAGGTTGGATAAATACACGAGTAGGTGTGGGTGGGTGAGAGTTGGACCTGACTAGCTTGTGCTACTAGGTCGGATGCCGTGCTTCTCCCTTAAGCGACGTGACTGACCTGACTAGTCTTAAGCCCCCCTCAGGGAAGGTTCCTTGATGTTGGTGAGGGGCTCTTGATTTAGGGAATTGGATCTGTGCTCCCGTTCCCCGAATTAAGACTGAATGCCTTCCACATTCCCCCCCAGGCGCTGTATAATCCTACGGGTTTAGCGCTTTCCCTTGATTATAATAATAATAGTTTTAAGCCTGTGGGAGAATTGGACCTGCCTCGCAAATGCAAGTAGGCCTGTTGCAGTGTTCCTTTTTTCTTATGTTTTTATGATGGTGGGGTGGGGGAGGATAGAAATTTGCCGAACTAGATGATAAGTGAAGAGAACAGTGGTCTGTCTACAACGAAAACTGGAAGGTGCAAAGTAGAGATCAGATTCCAACGCTCCTACGTAAGTTTAATGGCAGAACATTTACAAACACACGTACACAGCTGATTTTTGTTTTGTGTGAACAGGCATGTACTTATGACAGATTCCAACGCTCTTACACTGGTATAATAGCAAACTATATACATACACGTGCCCAGTCGAACTCCTGTATGGTATTTAATGGAAACGCTTTTTCACGCACACTTTTGTGAGTATGCTCGGGATGGCTCTGTAACAAAGGTTTGAGAATGGAGTTAGCAACGAAGGAGGCTTTATTGTTGTTAGTTATCAGGTCTGGGTATCAACTCGAGGCCGGTCTGATGTTCTGCCTTTTTAGTGGAAGTTGACCCTTTCGAGTTTAGCGCTTAGTTTGATTATTTTTTTTATTATGGTGGAAGTAAGTGATGGTATTATCATTGTGTTCTGAACTGGATAGACCTCTTATGGTGATATCTGTTACTACCTGCATTTTTGAAAAGGTGCTGAATACAAAAGGAAGATGTTCGCTTTGGTTTGATTTCGTAATGTGAATGTTGATAAATGTAAATACCTTAAGTTTGAGCGTAGATAGGATTCTGTAGGTGGTCAGAATGGATGTAGAAGTTAACTCGTTGGTGGAGTCATTCTCGGCTCTATGAGAAGAAACTTGGGTTACATAATCAGTGATGTTAACTTCTAAACGTGGGTCTTCCCTGTCAGCTAAGTACAATTCCTCCATGTCAGGTTGACGTTTCCTTGTAACCCCCCCCACCCCCCCACCCCCAAAAAAAGGCATCCTAATGAATCCTGAGATCATCCTCCATTTTGGTTTTATTTCTCAGGAAGATATCTGAAACAAATCTGAGACCTTTATTCTGAACCTTTTGGAGTGTGAACCTAGTTGTACGAGTGAGAGAGAACGGCACGGATGGACATTCGAGTATAGGACGGATTATCATTTTATACTGGTGTTTCTTAATATACGAAAAAGCTTGGCAGGTAAATATAGACCTTGGTTAAGTTTGCTTTCTTGGTAAGATACTTGGTAAAAAAAAATAAGTAAGATTTTTTTTTAGCCTAGGACTGTATTGGTGTTTTTGGTTGCAGTTGGTGTGCCCAGTCGCGTTATTCCCTCAGTTTTCATTGGTGGTTGACAAACATCTTAAGAACATAAGAACGAAGGAACACTGCAGAAGGCCTACTGGCCCATGCGAGGCAGGTCCAAGTCTCCTACCGGCTTAAGCCAATGCACCCAACCTAGTCAGGTCAGGTCACATTGACTTAAGGGAGGAACACGGCAACCGACCTGGTAGCTCAAGCTATCAGGTCCAACTCACACCCACCCACATCCACTCATGTATTTATCCAACCTATTTTTAAAGCTACACAACGTTCTGGCCTCTATAACTGTACTCGGGAGTTTTTTCCACTCATCCAGAAGTAATCACAACACTAAGCCATCTGGCTTATCCCAATGAATGATACAATTTTTAAATCTATACAAAAACAAATTAGCGGTGAAGCCACAGACTACAATGTACGATATAAACAAACTATCCCAATCTAAACTATAATGCGAGTAAATATTTATAATCTTTTATAAAGTAGCATTCTTGGTACCTAATAAGAATTCAGGTCACGTAACCCACCAGATACATAAGTAGAACCAGTGGCCAGCGTCACCAATTGTGTGATTTTAATTGTGATAACTAGTTTGCTGCACCGTGCCTGTACTTTGTACCTCAACCCATGGGACAATGGTGCTATGTATTCCAAATAATGTTTTACACCTTGAGTTACAATGAAATATATAATTCCCTAAAATTTCTGCTTCTGATGTAAGCTATATTTTTTTCGTAAATATAGCAGACTAGCTTTTCTGGTGAACGATAAACAACTCGCTGAGTTTTATTCAAAGTATTTCGTTCATGTAAAAACTGTCAATTTTATTAGTGTGGGTATTGCAAATATAAACTGCTAGTTAACACGGAGGGGACAGTCAGGTTTTAAAAAAACAAGTGTTTTTAGTAGTGTCAAGGTTAAGTAATTGTCTGTAAAATTTTAGCATGACTACACTACATTAAGAGTGTTGTTCGTCATGGTTACTGAGCGATAATGTGAGTGTGTCTAGACAAAATGCACAACGAACTTGTACTGGAACTGCGTTTCCCTCAGAGTTGAGTTTATAAAGTCGTACTTAGTCCTAATAAAATATCCAGTAAAAGCTTATTCTGCATACTGTCTTATACCCATACAATTCGTCCCAACTTCTTTATGTCCATTCCTCGCCTAGCTGCCGGGATGAGTGGACGCT